AATATGATAATGAAAAATATGTAGTCATAAAACATTGGGGAACAAGTTTAAAAATAATACACAAAATAATATATAGAATATTGTACTTGTTGTACATTAGAAGAAAATTGGATTAATATACAGGAAAAGTAAGAGGAAATTTTTTTCTATTCTATTATTAAAAAAATTTAAAATTATTGTAAAAATATTTGGAGTACCGGTCGATGATGCTACATCATATGGAATAAATTTCTAATTCCACTTAATATTTTTATGCTTTCATTTTAAATATTCACTCCAAAAAAAAAACAAATTGTAGTGTGTGTGCCTATGTATTTATAATAAAAATTTATTTTCTATCACATTTTGTAGGTAAAAAATCTTACGTGGATGGATAAGAAAGGGCATTCTTGTATTAAGCTCAAAATTATTTATTATTTTATTATAATTATAGAACTAAATGAAGGATTGTAAAATATTCAGTTATTTAACTATATTTGCTTCAAAATAACCTGATAATAATATTAATAATAAATTGAAGTAAAAAAATAAATTCTTAAAATTTCGAATAATATTAAAATTTCAAAAATATTATATGTGTATGGATGTGTAGATTTTTAAGATTTCAATAGTAATTAAATTCATATGAAAAAAAAAAATTTAATAATTTTATGTGACCATGAAGAAACAATTCCCACCCTCCTGAAAACCAGTTGCATGCAACATATCCATATGTTTAATGATACCATTGTGCAATCACCAATATGAAATATTTATATTCTCGAATAAACTGACCATAGCATTGGAACTAATTACGAGTACTTTACGTTTCTTAGTTTCTTTACATCAAAATGTCGCAAAAATTATTTTGATGCAGAATGATGAATTTTATGATGAATATTAATGGATTTAATAAAATAATTTTATTTAATCACCATAAAAATGAATTTTTGTCGAAAAAATTCAAAAAAACTATTTTTGATAATTATTTTAAGCGAAAAGAAATTTAAAAGAAAATTATTTTAAAATAAAATTCTTTTCGCTTCAAATGAATTTCGCTGTTGGTAATTACGACTCTAAATTATGCATTTACATCAAGAAATTATTGATTTACAACAAACAACAATTACTTACGGTTGCAATCAAGCAATCAATCCATATGACAACACCGCTTTGTAAAACTCAAATTGTAAGTGAATTTTTTGAAGCAGTCAAAGTTTATATTATTATCTTGAAGTTCCAAAAATTGTCACAACAACTCATAATATAATTATTATTGTATCACTTGTACCGTATCTATAATTGGTCATAAAACGCTGGTAATGTACAAGACTCTCATAGTTTTTAACTCCAACTTTTTCGTTCTAGTTATATTGCTTATAAAACACATTCATAACTCACAATTTTGCTCTTATGCTGATGTCAAATATTTGACATTAACATAATAACTCTTTTATTTTAAAATATAGTTAGTTATAAAAATTTTACACTCAAAAAATCTTTTATCATCCGAAATTATTGAAGCAACAGAGAAGTTCAAATTGGATTAATTTTTTTATTAAGTATTTTTGTATCATATTAACCTCATTCGAAAATATTACAATTTATTCCAAAAGATTTATAAATTTTATATTTTTTTCTCTCCGTTCAATATCTTATTACCTTTAATTTAATAATTTATATCTAAAGAGTTATAGATGTCTTTTACAATAATTGAAAAAATTTTCTTGTATTATACTGGCAACAATGGGGAATAAATTTATATATACACCAATACGGAATATTTATGGTGTACATATACGAGTACTATATGTATTTTATTATTCATGTATGTTTGAAGGTATGTACATTACGTTTTCAATTGAATTATAATATTTAAGAAAATGCACATAAATGTATATTAAAAATTTAAAAAGGTTTCATACCTATATATCCTGATTATTTTGTAAAGAAACCCAAAATTTTTATATATATATATATGTATATATTTATAATGCGAAAATATTTTATAAACACACATATAATTTTCATATGTAATAAAATCCTTAAATTTAGAATCGTAAAATACCAAAGAAAAAATAATCAAATATAAATGAATTTTTTGTTAAAAACAACCTTGAAAAACCTTGAAAAATATTTTCTGTTTCTGATAAATAAATTAAATTTTTCCCATATTCTAAGAAAGTAATTTCTTATATTATATTTTTACACATACCATTGAAATTATTCAAAAACAAGACCTTTTCATTCCAATTCTCTCTCTTTTTTTCTTATTTTGTTTTTCATTATCAAAGACCAATAAATTTTCAAAAATCTTTGTCTGCAGAGAAAGAATTATGTATTGTATATATGTAAGTATGTATTTCTTTGAAAGAAAATGAAAATTAATAAATAAATTAGAAAAAAAAAACAAATTATTTTTTCTTAAGAAATTTTCTTTAAAGTTAAAATTTTTCTAAAAGAAATTTTTTTTTTTGTTTTAATTTTTCTTATTTTAATTAGTAAAAGTCAAAAACATTTGATTTTTTTGAAAAATAATGCATTTTTTTTTTTGATATTTTATAATTTTTAAAATTATATATTATGTATGTAAAATTATTAACAGGTACGATTTATATAGATTATACAGGGATTTATAGATTATACAGGTTTGAATTTTTATTAATGAGAGGTTAATTTATACAATTTGCAAGAATCGTAGAAACGATAATTAATTCTAGAATTAATAATATAGAAAATTAAAGTAAAATTTTATATGTAATAGGAAAATTTGAAATTCAATAATGGAGGAAATATTTAACAAATTGGGATCAAAGTTGAACAAGTGAAAATACTGCTTTTTAAAAGAATCTACTTCATTTTCATCATTTAAGTTATTTATAAAGCAAGATACGTATATCAAATTATTGCATACACTTAGGATCTGTAAAAGAAAAAATTTAAGGAACCCTTAAAATAATATTCGAATGCGACAGTTAAAAAACTGGTAAATAATTACATTTTCGATGACTTGCTTTTGTAAAAATTCGAAAAAGCTTTCCAGTGGCGATAGCTTGGAAAAGGAAGTATAGACAAGAACATTTTCTTCTAAAAAAATTAGTTATTTTTTAGTATGTCTAGGAAGCTTTGCTCACATTTGGATTTAAATATAAAATGACATTAATTACATTAACCACGTTTTATAGAAATTAAAAAAAAAATCAAAATCCCTATATTAAATAAGAATTATGTCTAATAAATAAGAATTATGTAAAATAAGATCTCAGAAATGACTTTATAAAGCTTTTCTTATAAAATCTCATGTAAACAAATACTTGGTAACCATTTAGATTATTGTAAACCAATGTGAAGAACAATTTTTCAGTAAATTTTACATGCCTCAGTATATCAGTAGGTAGAGCGTCCAACTAGAAAGCCGTAAGTTACTGATTCAGTCCTGTTCCAGAAGAAAATTTTTTTTAAATTCCTCTGTCTTGACTCGTTTTTTACCGACCGTATTGTGTAAACAATAGGTAGGTTATGTGATGGCAACAAATTTTGCATATCGAGTTTTCGGTGGGAACGTACTTCTCCATAGTAGGGAAGTGTAAATAAACTATTTTTAGCAACCTGTCGATCTGTGTGTGCACGTGTGTATCTCAAGTTCGGCTTAACCGATTTTGATGAAATTTTATATGTAAGTTTATTTCCACCATGGCACGGATTGATCAACTTTTGGTATATATCAAGCCTCGGGAACTGCACTTTTTAGCGGGCCTGTTTTACATTTTTGAACATTTTGAAGAAAATATTCAACCGATTTACTTGAAATTACATATTTGAGATCAAATATTACATATTCGACCGTCCGTGAAAATTCCTAGCTTTTGGAATAAATCAGGCATCAGCAACTGGACGTTTACTACGGGCCAAATATACATTTTTGTGTATGTAAAGAGAAATAATGAACCGATTTCATTGAAATTTAATATTTGAATTGCTCGTATTAAAACAATGAATATGTAAACTTTTTGGAAAGATCAGGGCTCGAAAACTGATCTGCGGGCTGATTTTACTTTTTTCACCATATCTACGGAACGAATTGATGGAATTTCTTGAAATTTGATATTTGAGTTCTGGTTGTTACCAAAACTAACTGGCGAGCATTTCCCTGAAATGTTGTTGACAAAATTTTGTTTACTTGTTTAATTTTCTTTTAAATTTTATTGAAGGTCAAATCGGGTAGTACAAAGCGAAACTCTACTAAGAGCCAAATTTACATTTTTCTAGGTATGTTAACTATAAGCTTACTAATGTCCTAAAAATTAGAAAGAAGTATTTAACAGACATTTTTATAATATTCTGTAACACTTTCATTTAACTAGACAATACAGAATGCGGTCGGTTATGTGCTGACCACACCAGAATTTTTAATTATGTCATCCATCTGCAGTTGTATGAAGAAATTTCCATTAGTTATTTTTTTACGAATTAATAAAAGATAAAAAACTACACGTCGTATTGGGGATCACGTATATATTAAACAATTGCTTTAATTCCAATCTAAATATTATTTAAAAATTGTACACGTGTATTGAAATATTTATTATTGGTTAATACCCAGAGACGATTAATGAAAGCATTTTGATCTTTAACCTGAACTTTAATCTTTCATCTGACATTAAATTACTATTTACTGTCAGCAATATGAAACTTCAAAAAAATTTTACTTTTATCCTTAAACCACAAAATCTTTTTTTTTTAATTTCTAAATGAAATATAATTTGCATTGTACATGAGTAGTATATAATAATTTTGTAAATATATTATTTACAATATACATACTATATATATACACGAGAAGTTACTAGTATGTAATATATAGTTTTGAAACAGTAAAATGTTCATGTACATGATGTGTAAAGAATCGTATATAATATAAAAAAATAACACATGTACATATAAATAAACAGATATATAAAATTAAAATATATAGAAAAAAAAAACAAAATTTAATATAATAAAAAGATAACAACACTTACTGATAATCTTGTGGTGTTAATTTCCTCCGATGATATTGGACACCAATAGGCACTGGAACAACATTTATATAATTTCCGGCTGTAGTACTGTTTAAATGTGATTTGCTGCTGCTGCTGTTGCTGTTGTTGCTGTTGTTGTTGTTGTTGTGATGATGATTGTTGCTGTTGCTGCTGTTGTTGTTTTCTCTGTTTTCTCTGTTGTTTGATTTTGTTGATGGTATTAATTCGTTTCCATATTGTTGTGATTGCTGTTGTTGTTGTTGTTGCTGTTGTTGATGATGATGATGTTGTTGTTGCTGTTGTTGTGATGATGATGCTGATGAGGTTGATGATGAAGATGATGAACCTATTTGTAAATGCGATTGTTGGTGATGTGAATGATGAGATTGGTGTGATGATGAACTGTGACAGTACCCTCTGTTTGGATCCATATTTATACATCACTACGATATATATATTTTTGTTTTTGTAATTTTTTTTTTTTTTAATTTTCTATTTTGTTTTTATTTTAATTTTGTAATTAACTTTTTTTTTAAACTAAATTTTTTATTTTTTCACAAATTTTTTTTTGTTATTTTAGAAATTTTTTTTTTAGTTTTACACAAAAAAAAAATTCTCTATTTATTTATTTAATTTTTTTTTAACTTAAATTTTTTTTCTTTTTATGCATTTTTGTTTTTGTCTTTTAAGAAATTTTTTATTATGATATTTTTCTTTTATTATTTTCGATACTATTAAAAATTTTCAGTCATTTTTGATTTCTAAATTCTTATCCTGTTTTTTTTTCTAAATTTTTTATTTTGAATGTTAAATCTAATTAATTAAATATTTAAAAACAAAAAAAAGAGCACAACAAAAAATAAAGTTTATTGATTTTACGGGATTTTTTTCTTTTAACTTTTAATTATTATGGCTTTTTTGTTTTTGATATTTTGGTTTTTGTTTTCAAATTAGCTACACACCTTCTGTTTTCTCTTTTTCTGTTTTATGTTTTTAAAATCCTAAAATCGTTTTAGGATATCACAAATAACCGCACGTTATGAGCGGAATGGCGCGGTAAATTATAACAAAAATTATAAGAAAATCACAAAAGAAAAAAACTTCACTTTAATCTTTTCTCTTTTTCACCACTCTCTTTTTGTATTTTGTCTTAATTCGATTAGTTGGTTTTAACAGAGAAGAGAAATTTCAACTTTAAATTTCCTTTTGTTTTTTTTTTTGGTTTTTTTTCTCTTTTTTAAAATTTTACTTAATTTATGAAAGTTTCTTAAAGAAATCGTGCTATAATTATTACATATACATATATAATTATGTTTGTTATATATATATATATATATTTATATTAATATTTAGAGATTTTTTTTGTGTTATCAGTCTTTTTAAATTTCGGAATTTTAATTTCTTTTTTTTTTTTTATAAATTAGAAGAAAAAAAAATTAAAATCGAAACAGAAAATATCATGATATTTTTCTCATTTTTTATTTATTTAATTTTATCTTTTGTTGTTGTTGTTGTTTTCTCTCTTGTTCTTTTTAATTTCTGTTTACTTTGTTTTCCTATATTTACTGTTATTATTATTGTTATTATTAAAATTATTTTTATTCTGTTAATTTTCCTTTTATTATTCTCTTATTTTTTCTTTAACTGTTATGTATGTATACGAAAACAAAAAACAAAAACAAATTCACTTCTGGAAGGCAAAAAAAAAACAGAATATTTAATAAACTTTCTCTTTTATTTTTCATTTAATATTTTTAGTATTTTAAATAAAATATTTATTTAATTTATTTCATTTCATCCATATGAAAAAGTAAAAAGTTAGAGGTAAGCTTAATTTTATTAAAAATGTGTGCGTTAATAATTATTTATTAATATATCGCTAATCCATTTCAATAGCCCGCCCATTTAAATTTGTTTGAAAAATATAGGATAATGTTTTGCATTAAGACTTTACAGCATTATTGAATTGTGTATACTGCGTTTAAATTCTTATATTTTAATATTACAACCTACTTATATATACGAATATTATAATGATTATGTATGCTGTTTTAAAAATAAATGATTAAATAATAATATTGAAGTTGAATAATTTAATATGTTTTTATTTTATGGTATTTTGAATGCATATTAAATTATTGTAAACAAAAACAATAAATATTTTTTTAATAATGAATAACAGCCATAATCCAAAATATTATAAATATTTTTTTAATAAATAATTTTTTATTACAAGTTTTCTATTATAATTACACATAATATATTTAGAGTGATCGATAAAATTAAAAGTCATAAATCTATCACGAGATTATTATTAGACCGAAAAATCATTGCTATAAATCTACGTCAGACAAACTAGTGCGCCTAGTTAGTGCAAAAGTATTATTATGATAAAAAAGATAGTTAGAAATATAATTGATAAAAATTTCTATGCAAAACAAATTTGAGATTTCCTAATATCTAATAATTAACCACCCTTCGAAGTTATTAGAGAGTATAATGAACATAAACTAAATAATACCAATAACTGTATAATACCATCACCTTTACCCAAAATGCGTTTTTCTACACCCAATCAAAAAAAAAATATACGTTATCTCAAAATTACATTAAAATTTAAAAATCTACAAAAAAAATACTATAAACTAAATAATACTTAAAAAACACTAGGTATTATACCTAGACTAGATTACCACCCCTTATAAAAGATACACTAAAAAATAAACAATTTTCTATTCAACCCTCCAACTTAAAAATTGAATAAAAATTACAAATTGCAGCAATTATTAGGGTTTTTTTCAAATGTTATATTTTACATATATATATATATATTTAAATATATTAAAAAAACATGTAGTTACATATGTAGCATAAAGTACATACAACAGTCGTCCAAGTACATAAATATTTTACACATTTGAAGAAGAGCTACAATGTATTTAATATGGGGGGAAAAATTAAGTATTACAAACTAAACATGAACATTAAATAAACATTGAATTCATGCACAAATTGAAAAGTAAGTATAAGAAAAATTTTTATAAATGGACATGAAGCAATTAAATTTAAGCATTTAAAAGCAGTTAATGAACATAGAGTGGTTAAGTTAATGAACATAAAGTAAGTTGTTTAAAAAAAAAACAATGAAATTAAAGTATGTATTCGTATTTGTTTTTATAATTTTCAATTCATTACAAAACCAGCAGTAAGTACTAACTATAAAATATGTATAAATACATTAAATATTTTAGAATTTGTAATGAATATTTATTATCTTTAGAAATGAAAGAAAAATAAAAAATAATCACATATATTATTGCAACCGTTATTGTATATAAAATGCATACGGTAAAATTAGAGACACTTTCGTTCATATGGTGTTGCTTTGCACTTTAAATTTTCTTGAATATTTTTAATAAATAGAACAACAAATAGGTTGGTACCCCATATGTTAATTACTTAACTTTTATAATAATTTTACCATAAATGAAATTGCATTGTTTTCAGTTTCGTTTCTTATTCTTAAGAGATTAAGTAAATATATGCGAGTAATACATTGAGAAAACACATAGATTACAAATTATTTTACCCTTAGTTAAAATAACCCTTTCTTTTAATTCTTTTGTTAAAAAATAAATTTTACTATACGTAAATTATTACCTATGAGTCTAAGCTAAATACAATAATTATTTTTAGTTTCTATCATATAAAACGCTTTTGCAGTTAATAATAAAATTTCGTTTAATTACTAAAATATTGCATATTTTTGGGGGCACAAAAAATAAATTTTAAAATTTATAATGAATTATTTACTAATACATTAAGTTTGAAATATTTGCAGTATAACAGACTTTTCAATACCAAAAATTGATCACTTTCAAAATGATATTTTAAATTAATTAGAATTTCATTTTATTTTTTTATAAAAATGTTATTGCTTGCCTCTTGCAATATTTTGTATTAAATTAGTTAATAATATAAGCAAAATTTTAAAGCTTCTGAAAATAATTGACCTTCAATAAAATTTAAAAGAAAATTAAACAAGTAAACAAAATTTTGTCAACAACATTACATTAAATATTATTAGCAAAACCTTCACCCTGAAAACATAAAGAAACAAATCATCCTGAAAATAAAATTGAAGAGGAATACTCAAAATGGAAATAAATTATTAAAGAAAAATAATTTGTAAATGGAAAGAAAACAAATCTTTTTTTAAATAATTTAAAAAAAAAATGTAAGATTTTCTTTTAATTTGTTATTTGAACTTGTATTCATAAAATAATGCGTTTGCCAAAAAAATAATTACAATTTTAGTTAGAAAAGTTTAAAATCAAACCAGTTTTGCTACAGTGTACCGTTCTTCCCACAGAAACGATTGCTAAAACACGAATAATTTTCATCCAAATTATTGCATTAAGATGCTTTTGATTTTAATTTCAATTGTTAATTAATTTATCAATTGAAATTATTGTATTAATAAAATGCAAGGTAAATAATAAAGTTTAAAATGATAAATTTAAAAGAATAAAAGTCTCTGTTATTGAATGCTTCAAATAATTCAATTTCATTTTCTTTTCGAACTCGAAAATATATTGAAATAAGAGGGATTATGATTAAAAAATAATCTAAAAATTCATTAGGTTATTTTAACAAATTTTAAATTATTCTTGACCTCCTTTGAAGTTAAACATTAGATAAGCAACAATGTTAAACAAAAAAATAAAACACTTATGCGTTCTCTGATTAAAAACAAATAATTCCCTCATAATTCTGTTCGAACATCCTTAATTGCAGTTGTCTAATTCTTTCACAGAATTTTAATATTCTCGAATATCAAACCTAACCCATATTAAAACTTTTTTTTTGGAAAATAAGTATATAACAATAAAATTGAATCTAGATAATGTATAATTTTCAGACACAACATGTACTTGACATTTGATTGTAAAATAATATGTAAAATAATATGAAAATGGCTATAGTAATCTTTAATGTTTTACTCTATTAAATAAATTGTCGTATAACAGTTAACTTTAATACAGAATCATCAATAATAAAGTTGTATTAAAAGAACATTTTGGTCATTTTATTTTAGTTTCAGAAATTTTTTTAATTTTTCAAAAATCCAAGCAAAAAATAATGAATTCTTGGAAATTTTTTTTACCTAAAATAAGAAAACAAAAAAATATTTATATACACACGCACAAATATACCTATATACATTATTAATTACACCTACAGATGTTAATTATCCTTTTTATTCATTTTTCATTTTTTCTAAATGCCTTTATTAAAATATTCAGATCATAATTATTATAATTTTACTGTATTTAAACCTTATCTGTTCAAAATATCAAAAGAAATGGCAAAAAATATTTTTCTCCTCCTTTTTAGATAATTATTATACAAATCGTTATTTTCCTCTTTCTTTTTAAAGATTTCTTTTTTTTTTAGATTATATCCTGTTTATTATTTATAAGAGATTTAGGTGCTATATACCTTGTTTTCATATCAAAGAGGGAAAACAAATACTTAAAATATGGGTACATACAAATATTTATACAATTTGATAATCATAAGATCGTATATAATTATAACGTATAGGTATAATATGTAAGTATATTAATAAAAGTGAGCATATTCATAGCTATATATAAAATATACCAAATACAGGTGTTTTCAATTTGAAAATAATTGTTCTTTTGATTTTTAAATTTTAATAATTTTTTTAATTTTTAATTTCGAATGAATGAATTATAAGCTATAAATTTTGATGAAAAACTAATAATAAAATTGAATACTAAAAATTTGTTTATCTTGTTGCTCATAATTTTTTTTTTGGGGAAGACAAGGAATGGTACTCGTACAAGTTACAAGCGCTTAAAATTGAAGATATGGAATTAAAAAAATCTATAAATTCGAAAAGTTTTCAATGCATATTTTGGTTTGGACAGTAAAATTTTCGATTTTTAAGGCGCATACGAGTTATGCTTTTTTAATTTTTGCAATATGCATAAATAAATTCTCAA